TCAAGTGATCTTTATTGCCTCAGCCTCCTGCATAGCTAGGACTACAGGTACCCACCACAATGCCGGCTATTTTTTTTATAAATGGGGTCTCACTCTGGCTCTGGCTGGTCATGAACTGCTGAGCAAAAGCAATCTACACACTTTAGCCTCCCAGGGTGCTAGGATTACAGGTGTGAGCCACTACACCCAGCCAAGAATAAATGGTTCTTAATTTGTTTGCCTTTGGGTGATCTTCAGAGCCTCAAAATGTTTTTTATAATTTTCTCCAATGTTGTCTTATTTTTTACACAGAGCATTCCCTCTCCTCACATTACAATAGCCAACAGCAGTCTCTCTGCTGCACTGTCTTTCTGTCAATGCCATCCTCTCATCTGCCAGGGAATATGGGTACAGCCTTTGCTGGCATCTCTCTTTCACAAGCTGCATTCGGCACCTCAGCCTCACACCAGATGAAGAAATGAAGACTGCTCTACAATATTTTATTTTTTGTAGAGATGGGGTCTCACTATATTGTGCAGGCTGGTCTCAAACTCTGGGCCTCAAGAGATCCTCCCAAGTAGCAGGGACTACAGGTGTGCACCACTATGCCTGGCTCTATAATCTTTTTTCTAGCTCCTCAAAATTCAACTTACTCTACAATTTTTTTTTTTTTTGAGACAGAGTCTCACTATGTTGCCCTGGATAGAGTGACGTAGTGTCGCAGCTCACAGCAACCTCAAACTCTTGAATCTCAAGTGATTCTCTTGCCTCAGCCTCCTGAGTAGCTAACTGGGATTCCAGGCACCTGCCACAATGCCCAGCTATTTTTTTTTTTTTTGTCACAGTTGTCGTTGTTTAGCAGGCCCAGACCAGACTGAAACCTGCTAGCCTCAGTGTATGTGGCCGGCACCCTATTCACTAAGCTACAGGCACTGAGCCAACTTATTCTACAATTTTAACATGCCATTATTAAAATGTATTACCTGATGTGACCAAGACACACAGCTCAAGGAAGATGACTTTCCCAGCTAGTTAGTGGGAGAACTGAACTTTAATGGCGTCTCCCAGGCCAAGCCCAGCACTTTTTCATAACAGGATTTGCAGGACATACTCACACGCATAGTGACTGTCTTCCCAGTGACACGGGGCTTAGCCGTGTATTAGAGACGTTCAGTTGACTTTAAATGGAGAATTGGATTGAAATTAACTTTTAGTGACCAGTGTGGGAAAATAAACAGCACTTACAGAAAGTTTACAGGTAGAACTTTACATAATGGATCCCTCAAGAGAAACTTGGGGACCGGCACGCCCTTGTACTTTGTTGCAAGTACTTCCTTATCTGTGGTGCTAAGTTACAGGGAAAGGCTCCCATCAGACCTTGCTGCAGGAACTGATTGATTGCTCTAGTCTGAGATTTAGCAAGGGAGAAATTATGCTGAGTCAAAGTGACTACACATCCAGATCTGGCCAAATTATTACTGAATAGGCATCATTTTATGCAAATATATTTAGAAATCTAATTTCTTTCTTTTACTAATGTTAGATGCTGTACAGACTTTCCATTTCTAAGTTAAGGTACTAACAATCAGCCAAAAATGGGCTTCCCAGAAGTGGTGGAAACCTGCAGCAAAGTGGTTTAGGAGGGCAGGGCTGGGACAAAGCCAAGTCTCCCCCAGGGTTAGGGTGTGCTGGAACTATAGCATCGTGCTAACTTTTCATTTTTATAAAGTCCTCACATGCTTGGCTTCTAATGCTTCAGAAAGTCAACCCACATTACTATTCATTTTAAAAACTTTCTGGCTTGCCCTAACTCCTCAAATCCTAATCAAAGCATGGGCACAAGTTCTAAGAAAACACAGACCTCTGTGCAAATTTCTAGGGCAGAATCCTTTGACTTACATAAGAGGGTGTGTAAGCAACATACTAACGGGAGCAGACTTGAAAATCCCAGCTCTGCAGCTCACTCCTGTGTAATTCCTGTAACTGAACTCAACTGGCCTGAACACATGCTAGACAGAAAGAGCTATTTTTTAAAACATTTTTGGTAAGAGATGGGGTTTCATTATGTTGTTGAGGCTGGTCTCAAACTCTTGGGCTCAAAGCGATCCTCCTGCCTCAGCCTCCCAAGTAGCAGAAAGAGTAATTTTAAAAAAAGCCGGAGACCACACATTACAAAGCCAGAAGCACACGTGTGATGGGCTCAGAATAGCAAAAAAAACCGTAGAGACAAGTGGTTCCTGTGGAAGAGCAGGAACTCTCTCAACTCTCCACTCAATCAAAAGTAGCATGACAAGAAAAACCAAAGAGAAGAGTAGTATGCTGCTCACGTGCACAGGTCAATGGGACCACCGGACTCCATGTCTGGCTTTGTAAGAGACATGAGGACTCAGAAAGTGAGACCCTAGTGGGGGTCCAGTCCTGGACGAGACCTAGTTGAAAGTACAGTCAGAGTTACAGACCCTGATTTGGGGGGGATCATCCAGCTTAAACTAACTGAAAGCCCAGCAGCGCATGAGGAAGACGTGGCCTGCACAACACCTAGGCCAGCGGAAGAAACATTAGTGATCCTCAGAGACCTGCACATGTCCTGCGGCTGAGCTCTGGCCACAGCCCTGGCACTGTGTGTGGAACCGGGTCCTCTCAGCAGGATCAGGATCCACCTTTCAACTGGGTGCGACTCCAGCCACACCCTCCATTCCGGCAACTCTCTCCATCCTGTCCTCTTTGCCACCTCCAGGTTTTTCCTCCCAGTTCATTCATGCAACCAGCATACAAACATGCCATGTTATTTTCTTTCTTAATAAACCCCCCCCAAACCTCCCTCCTTAGCCTTGTATCTCCTTCTAGTTGCCCCATTTATCTTCTCCCTTAATAGTAAATATCTCTGAAAGAACTGTCTGTACTCACTATTTCACCCTCCTCTCGATCCCCCTTCAACCTACGCCAATTAGATTTTCAACACCACTCAGGAAAATGCCTGTCCCCAGTGACTTTGCCAGGGCAGAAGCGCTCCTGATGCCCTTCCATGGGAAGTGAGCCAAGCGCTCCAGAGCGTGGAAGGGGCCCTTAGGCTTGGGAGCCCAGTCACTTCCTCCAGCAGTCTCAGAACTCCAGCCACCTTCAGGGAACACATACTGTGCTGTTCCTCTGTAATTCCGCTACTCTAATAAAGGTGACATTTTGGTCTCTCATCCGTCTTGTTTCTTCATTGGTTCTGGAATTGGGGGAAAAATATCCCCTGGCTCCCTCAGACTTCCTACATTTTCTAGTTGCCAAAGTTGCAGTCCCTGCTCAGGCCTTATTGTAACCCCACTCGCCACCCTGGACACTCGGGACACAAGCTCGCCTCCTCTGCGTCAGCACTGCCTTAATGTGGTTGCCAAGTATCACAGGCCCCTCCTCTTCCTCCTGGCCTGACTGCTCCCTTTGCCTGATCTCCAGGTGTTGGAAACACTCCAAGACTCATGGTTCTTCTCTTGCCAGCTGCTTGCACTCCAGGGCTGCGTGCCCACTGGGCCTCTTCGCCCCACACTCCTTGAATCCAGTTAGGGCCCCCAGCCACTGCACTGACTGCCCCTGCCCATGGACATGCTGCATCTAAAAGGAAACGTGGCCAAAGTCCAAGTCTTAGCTCAGCATCCCCCTCAGCTGGTGCCAACCCTGGTCTTCACCTTGGACACAGCAACACTTCTCTTCCCTCAGGCACACGTCCTCTTAGTGAGTCGCTGACTTCATAGTCTCTTTGCTGAGTTGGTTCTGACTTCACAACGCACCCTGACACTGACCTTTTCTTCCCATCATGCTGCTCACTGCTCCAACCCCGGGTTAAGCCACCATCATCAGCCCTGGAATATTGGGATAACAATCTCCCACTTTGTCCCATTTTCTCATTCTTGTCCCTGCCTGAGCACAGCTCAATTTCCACTCAGCAGTCAGATGGTTTTTGTACTAAGAGATAGGGTCTCACTGTGTCACCCAGGCTGGAGTGCAGTGGTACAATCATTGCTCACTGCAGCCTCAAACTCTCGGGCTCAGAAAATCCTCTTGCCTCAGCCTCCCAGTAGCTGGCACTAACAGGCCTAAGCCACGGCACCCAGCCTATTTAAAAGACCATTCTGGGTTGGGTGCTGTGGCTCATTCCTATAATCCTAGCACTTAAGGGGGCCAAGAAAAGATTGTTGAAGCCAAGAACTGCCTGGGAAACAGAGAGAGGCCCCTGTCTCTACAAAAAAAAAAAAAAAGAAAAAGAAAGAAAAGAAAAGAAAAATTAGCCAGGAAGGGTAGTACGGATCTATAGTCCCAGTTACTCGGGAGGCTGAGACAGGAGCATTACTCCAGCATAGGAGTCTGAAGTTTAAGAAAGCTAAAAGAATGCCATTGCACTCTACCCTGGGTGACAGAGTGAGACTCTAAGAAAAGGAAAAATAGGAAAGAAGAAAGAAAGAAAGGGAGAGACAAACAAGGAAAGAAAGAAAAGAGGAAAAGGAAGACAGAGAGGCATACATACATCCTGCGACTCCTCTGCTCAAAAGCCTCCAGCAACTTCCCATTTCACTCTGAAGAAATTCAAAGTCCTCACTGAAGCCCCGAATCAGCCAGTCCTGGGGTACTTTCCGACATCTGCTGCTCTCTCCGTTACATCATTCCTTGACTTGGAGACCCCTTTGCCGAGGGATTGGCGCAGCCTACCCCATCCTTTAATTCAAAGTCTGCTCAAATGTCACCTTTATAAAGAGGCCTTCCCTGCCACGTGATCTAAAAGGACACCACCTTCCCATTCCTCTCCGATCTTTTACTGGATTTTATTTTCCTCTGTAACATTTACCACTTGGAAGTTATACATTTGTTTGACAAATGTCTTCCCCACTGGAATGGGAGGGACACAAGTGCATGGGCTTGCTCTGTTTGTATGCAGATGGTATACCAGGCCCAGAGCAGGCATCAAAACAATTCAAGAAAAGAAGCATTTGTGTCACTACCTTTCAAAGGGTGCAAGAATAAATGCATATCAAGAGCCCTTCGATGTACCGGTTGTACCTTTATTATTTTACCTCGTTCACTAATAGTTCCGTGATGTAATGTTACCATACACAGTTAGATAATGTCTGCATTGCACACCTAAGGCTATACAGCAAAGGAATCAGAATTAGTACAAATACAAGAACTATATTTACATTCTGTATACTCAAGCTCCAAACATCAGATAATATTTACAAAATAAAACATGGAAATGAAAATCCAAAATTAATAATGTACATTGTTGCTAATGTGCTCAACTCCTTCACTGGGGAGAGATCAGTTTGCGAAGTCTTGGTTCAGAAAGGCCACTTATGCATCATGAGTTCTGTTGTAGTGTGCACGGATGGTGACGAGAGACTTGACATCTCAACAGACCAGTACTTCAGAGCCACAAGTTAAGACGATGCTTTAAACACCAGAAGGCTGATGGGTTCTTCGGTGAACTGATGCCAAATGCTCAGCATGAAAACAAAGTAACTCAAAGACATGAAAAACAACACACAACAGCCAGGGTTTGGCGAGAGACCAACCTCGGTTCAGACTTCTTATCTGAGCACAGCCGTTTCGCTGTGAGTTTTTAACAAGAATTTTGTACCAACCTGAATTTCTTCCTTTAATGGTTTGGAGGCTTTCTTAAGATTTTATGGGGCTCAAATACTAATTTCATAAATGGCCTTTTGAACAATAACAGCAAATAATCTCTCAACTGATATTTCTGCTCACTAACGACGCACAAATTAATACATTCCTGCTACATATGGTCGTGGTCTGGCCCAGCACCCAGGTGTATCGACGGCCATGGTGAACAGTTGTAGTGCATACAAGTTAGAGTCCTCTTTAAACACATTCAGCAAACATTCTGAGAGCAGCAGCAGAATTAGTCTTTTCTTTTTAAGAAGCAGGTTAACAATCACATTTTTAAAAGGGAACCAAAAGGAAAACTCAAGGACCCAAGTCAAACAGATAAGCCCTGATCCTGCCCACTGGAGTCCGGCGTGAGGGAGACGCAGAGAGACACCGACAGGGCTGCCCAGCAGGGCCCTTCTCGCCCAGGCCACCGTGCAATTCATTACGGCTATATAAATACACACAGACCTACACAATTAAATATCCCTGTAAATAGGACAATAAGCAGCAGGCAACAGAGTCTTTGCTTTGAAATATGTGCCAGGAAAAGTCATCTTGTTTTTAGACTTCCCAAACCATTCACAATGATTTAATTTATTCCTTCACCTTAGTCGGAAAAATCCATCAAAAATATGAGTAGTTATATAAATTCTATGTATCTGAAGAGAAAAAATATATCAAATAATAGTGGTTTCTTAGTGTGGAAAGTGCATTGCATTTCCTCTCGCCTTCGCCGTGTGAACAGTGCTCTGGAGCTCAGAGGCCCCGTGCTCCAGACCACAGGCATGGGCTGGCAGGCCCCGTGTGGCCCGGCCTGGGAGCTGGCTGACTCCTAGGCAGCAACAGGGACAGGGAGGGCAAGAGCACTGCAGGGCTGGCTGCGAGGCGGTGTTTTGCTTTGGCAGGAGAAAAGCAGATGAGGGAGTGAGGGAAGGAGACGATTAGCTTTAACTAGCACTCATTTCTCTTAATTTGTGAATTCTTTTTCTAGCCTTTGTTATTCTTTGGCTGTTTAAAGGAGTGCTTTAAGGAAAATAAATAAAAAGTCACCTTAAAAGGTAGTTTCCATAAGGATTAGATTTCTTAACTTTCCCACCACTATGGCAATAGCTAAAACCTCATAAATAGTTCCTGCCATAAATCTTCTCTCAGAGCTTCGCAGTGGGGATGGCTCTGTTCAGAAAGGGAACATCCATCCTGAAAGTACCGGGGACCCAAAAGGAGCCATCTACACCTGTCGGCCACTGTGGAGGCTCCTCAGATGGGGAAGCACGCCGCTGCAGCCCCACAGGACACGACTTGCTTCCTCTGGCTTCCTAACGAGCATTCTTCTCTGGGCACGTAATGAACAGACAGCCCAGGGAGTTCTGAAGTCTGACATTTCCAAAGCAAAGACTTTCCAAACCAGTTGTGTTTGAGTTAGAAGAAAAACGAAGTCATTCCATGTGTTGTGTTATCGCACTCTCCCTTCGGCTTCTCTCCCCCTACCCTCCCTGGTCACAGACATGGGTCCTCTGTCACACTTCATAACAGCAGCAACATCAGTGATTTCATTTTTTAAATGACCTTCAACTCCATCTTCATTTCCCTGAAATTAGATTTCATTCCAGTCCAGCAGGGCTTCCTGAAGCTCTAACAGACCTTGCTGGATTTGGATATGTACCAGAAGGGCACATTGTGTCCATCAGACAACGAAGAAACGTCCATCTATATTAGAAATCGCACATACCACTTAGAAAACAAATAACATTAGAGTTAGGAAGAAAGTTTGTAAGAATTCATCAGTGCTTTCATCAGTCCCTTTTCAGATGCGGCCAGTCTGTGGTTTCAACCCCTTCCTTTATTAAGCTCTCCATGAGTCATTCTTCCTCTTTGCAAGGCAGCTCTAATAAGCGAGGCTGGAGACCCTTCTTCAGAGAGGAGTCCTGCCAGGAAGTCAGAAGGGTCTAGGTGCTGACCGGCTCCCTGGCAACTGCTCTGCAGAGGGGCACACGCATGCGGCCCTCACTGTGGGAGTAGAAAGTAAGCCAGCTGCCAGTCACCTGAGTCAGCAACTCAAGGCCAAGAACCTCAGGGCCTTGCGAAGTGGGAGCAGGCAGATACCTTCCTGAATGGCTGAGCAGGGGAAAGAAAGAATGGTTCAAAACAACCTCAAGTCAACTGGCCAAGCAACTGAAGTCACGGGAGGCTTTCTGTTCCCCACGTCATCCTGTAAAACTTACTGGCAGCTGAAAGACAGTCATCTTCTGTGATGGTCTCTGGAAGCCAGATGAGCCTAGTCTGGCAGAGGACACCACACCCAAGCAGAAGCAACAGAGCAGTGTGTTAGCAACGCTTTTCCTTACCCCCTTGGGATCTTTTGTTCTGTTTGTGGTGATGGTGGGAGGTTGGTTTTAATCCTGGGATCCAGAAAGCAAAGCCTGCCATATTTGCCTACTTATGAGTACAGGGAGCTGAGCATCACTGGAAACCATGCTGGACTGATTCAGCACGACATTTCTAAGTTTGTACTTGAAAATCACATTTCTTTGATCAAAGGGTGCTACAATAATCTCAAGGTCACTACTCAGCACTGTCTTATGACAATGACCATCAAGTTTATTATCAGAAGGTGAAACACTCCCCCCTTGTGGAATATCTGTGCATGACACCGCACCAATTCCAAACTGTACCATAGCCTCCAAGGCCAAGAGCAGAACTGAGTAGCTCCTAAGAGCAGCCTCCCTCCCAACACAGAAACAGTTTGCAGGAATCCTGCTGTGACAGCCACCTTCACAGCGCATGGCCAAATCTAGTGGTCCCTGAAATCCCCGGGCTGTGTCTCTGACCCTTCTCACAGGGTCAACAGCAGCTACTGTCCCAGACCTCTCTTCTCTTTTCCAGGAAATGAAAATTCCACAACTGTGCTCTGAATGTGTGCCAATTTTGACTCAGAGAACATAGTAACTGTCCCATTTCTAAGCTCACCACCACAACCTTCTCCCTGCATGGAAATGCAGGGATTAGCCATGGCAAAGAGACAGAAGGGGAAAAAAAAAAAAAGTTTAAATTTTTTCTTCTCAGGTTTTAGAAAGGCCAGATGTCTCCTCCCTTAGTCTCTAAGCCACCCAAGAAAAAATTAAAGTGGTATCACACACAAAGAAGAGAAAAAAAATCATTATGTGGCTTGAAAAAAAAGACAAAGGTATCCACAGACAGCAGTACAGACATCAGAGTGGTCAGTATGGGGACCTATCATACAAAAGGAGGTCAAAATACACCAAAAAGTGACTTGGAGAATCACTGGATCCCCTCAGGGTTTTTTGTGTATGGATTTTTTTTTAGTCTTTTTTCCTTTTGTTAGGCCACATGCTACTAAGAAGATTCTCAGCACAGGAAAAAAGAAAAGAGTACAGAGCAATGGAGATGGGGCACAGGAGAGCTGGAGAAGTCCAGACGAGGAGGGAGAAGTGGGGGCCACAGGGTTACATACAGGAGTCACCGTCAAGAATCACAAAGAGAACGAGAGCAACACTTTCTTTATCTCTCACAGGCCAGCGAGGGCACTCAGCAGGGTCACTTAGTATTTCGGCTGGCTTGGGCATCTGCGGGAGAGTTTTGACCTGTGAGGGACAAACGCAGAGGAAGGATCAGAAAACCGGGCCCAGGTGTTCTCCTAGCCTTTCCCTCTGGGGCTCCTTCTTGGAACCTCCCTATCCAGCACTGCAGGCCCAGGTCTCCAGGCCCCCTACTCTGTGACCCTGTGACACAAGCCTCTTGCTGGCTCTGAGTCTGGATCACATCGCTGAATGTTGGTCTCCCCAAGACCCAATTGGCAGGCCTCTTGAGAAGACTGGCACAGTGGCTCGCGCCTGTAATCCTGTACTCTGGGAGGCTGAGGTGGGTGGCTTGCATGAGCTTGAGTTTGAGACCAGCCTGAGCAAAAGCAAGACCTTATCTCTACTAAAAATAGAATAACTGAGGCAAGAGGATGGCTTGAGCCCAAGAGTTGGAGGCTACTGTGAGCTTTAACACCATGGCACTGTACCCAGGGTGTGACAGCTTGAGACTGTCTCAAAAAAAAAAAAAGGACAAAGAAGGTGATTACTCAGTACAAATGTGACCAGAATCTCCTCAGCAGTTCGGGACACAGGATGGCATCTTATGAGAAGCAGAGGCCTCAGTAGCCCCCACAGCCACTGCTACACTCCATCCTCCCTCTGTTGTGAGCTTACCCAGACCAGTACCCCCTTTCCAACTTACTGATGCCGATATTCCAGGGCCAAAAGCCAAGTAGAGAAAAGAAACCCAAAGCAAGTTCTTACCGTATCGTGCCAGCAAGAAGTGGGTTGAAAGCATACAACCAGTCGTTCATGTCCTTGTCATTGAGAGCCTGCAAAAGGACCCCACGGTGCTTGGTGCAGACAGCAAAAGTGTTGGGTGTCTGAAAGAAACAGGTAGGTGAGAAGGTGCCTACAGAGACTGAGCAATGGGGACCACCTCGCACATTCACAAGGCATTCCGCACTTCATACTCAAAGTTCAGGGAGACCAGGTAGAAAGGAGCAACTCCACGACACACAACAGAGGTGGAACTTGAAAAGGGACGGGCATGTGTGGTGCTGATAGGCCAAGACAGGGCGGGGCCAACCTTCACCTTCAGCATGGCCTGCTGGTCCTCGCTGCACTCCACCTGCGCTGCTGATAGGTTGATGACCCCACGCTCCACTGGGTCCTTGTCACTGTTATAGATGAAGACGTAAGGGCGACGGACCACAACAAAATGTTTAGCCCAGTTGCTGCAAAGTGGCTCCTTGAAATGCAGGTATCCTTTCTTAGAGACCACTGAGCTAAAAAGAACAGTATGAAATAAGAGAAGTTAGCTTTTCACAAAAAGAAAATGATCATGAACGTATACAGCTATGATTTAATAAAAAAGAAAGAAAAGAAAATGATCATGAGCTGAGGACCATCAAAATATATCTCACCTGGGGCAAGTCCCCAGAATCAACAAAATAGGCAAATGATTTTTGTCTTAGAATCTTACTACATATCTGCCAAAGTACTATAGTAACGTGTGATGCCAGGGTGGAGTGCAACTATGAGGCAGAAACCCAGTCCAGCTCTTTTATCCCACAATCTGCACGAGACTACAAATCAGACTGCACAGAGGAGCTGGAAGTAAATTCACCGTGCTGATTTGTTTTCTGTACCCAGCATCCCTGGTCAATATACTACTCACCCTGGTCTAATTTCTTCAATATCTGGAACCAGATTGAGAAATTCATTTTTTCCTGCTCGGGCCAAATACGGTGTTTCCACAGCTGGGACAATCTGAAACTGTTCAAATTCTGGACAAGGACTAGAGGCTCGGGAATTGGCTTCTGGGGTCCTTTAAAAGAGAGAGGTTAAGAAGAAGGGGTAGCAAGTTTCAGTTAAGGTCAAGGTATGTTGTGTACACCATGTCACCAGGGCAAATAAAATGCCACTCCCTCAACACCAGTTGCAAACTTCAGTTTCAGAGAGCTCAGCCAAGAAGGTAAGATGGTGTCAGAAAGTTAATTCTGAATTCTCTCGGTGTCATCCTTCAAAAATTACAAAAGGAGGCTTGGGGCCTGTAGCACAGTGGTTACGGTGCCAGTCACATACACTGAGGCTGGCGGGTTCAAACCCAGCCCAGGCCAGCTAAACAACAATGACAACTGCAACCAAAAATAGCCAGGCGTTGTGGAGGGCTCCTATAGTCCCACCTACTTGGGAGCCTGAGGTAAGAGAATTGCTTAAGCCCAAGAGTCTGAGGTTGCTGTGAGCTGTGATGCCACAGCACTCTATCCAGGGCGACATAGTGAGACCCTGTCTCCAAAAAAAAAAATTTACAGAAGGAAACTGCTGTGACCATCAAGACACACAGTCTCTCTTCCTATTTTAAAGCTCTCTGAACACAGGTATCTGGAATATGAGCTCTATTTCTTTTAAGTTTCTTCTCAGTCCCATGCCCACACAGAGGGCAGTGGCTCTGAAAGTGTGGTCCCTGATGAGCAGCGTCACACGGGTTTCACGTGGGAAATTGTTAGAGATTCAAACTTCAGACTTCAACTGTACAGGACAGCAAACCCCGAGTGGGGTTTAGCTGCCTTCCCTGTAACAGGCGCCCCAGGAGATCTGGGTATACGGTAGAGTTAGCCAAGGCCTCAGGGAGCCGCAAAGAAGGCAAACTCCTGGCAGGCTGTGCGGAGCAGAGCTGGACCACGGACCTGGACCAGAGATGCGTGACATACCTGCATCACAGGCATCTTGGTTGAGCATGTTAGCCAAATTAACTGTAGTTCACGGATTCTAAAAGCCTGCTTTTGATACTTTACCATTTCTTAAATTGGGATGCCTCTCATAATTGCCAACACGTCAAATTCGGTTTGCGGCACTTTTTCTTTCTAACAACACATAAAATGATCAATTACCTGGTTGTGTTATTTTCTCAAGTCCTTTTTGCCTGTGTCAGTGTTATACAGTAATATAGACAGATGAGTGATAACCAGGTAGGTTTTGACAGGTGAGCATAATGAATGGAGATGCATAGGAGTTGAGGGTACATTGCAAAGAGGGGATTAAGATGATGAATCATGGCTTGGCGCCTGTAGCCCAGCAGCTAGGGTGTTGGCCACATACACAGGGGCTGGCAGGTTTGAACCCAGCCCAAGCCTGCCAAACAAACAATGACCCAAGGTTTTCTTTTTTTTTTTTTTTTTTTTGAGACAGAGCCTCAAGCTATCCCCCTGAGTAGAGTGCCGTGGCATTACAGCTCACAGCAACCTCCAACTCCTGAGCTCAAGCGAGTCTCCTGCCTCAGCCTCCCAAGTAGCTGGGACCACAGGCGCCCACCACAATGCCCGGCTATTTTTTGGTTGCAGCCGTCATTGTTGTTTGGCGGGTCCGGGCTGGGGATTCGAACCTGCCACCTTAGGTGTACGTGGCTGGCGCCTTAGCCGGTTTTCTTTCTTAATTTAAAAATATTAAGTTGGTACAAATGTTTTATTACTTGGACATCTACTATAATGCTTACGTTGGAGCTTAAGTGTGCCCATCACCTGAATAGTGTTCACTGTACCCAACAGGTTAAGTTTTTACCTCCCCACCTTTGGTTGCCAGGACCATCACATCTCTTTGTGCCCTCCCATTAGCTCTCAGTTATTAGACAGTACATGTGGTGTTTGTTTTTCCATTCCTCACATACTTTACTTAGGGTAAAGTTCCAACCAGATTACTGCAAAAGATATTATTTCATTCCTTTTTATGGCTGAGTAGAATACTATGGTGTGTGTATATATAAATATATATGCCATATTTTCTTTTCTTTCATTCTTTTTTTTTTTTTTTTTTTTTTTGAGATAGAGTTTCACTCTGTTGCCCTGGGTAGAGGGCTGTGGTATCACAGCTCACAGCAACCTCAAAGTCCTGGGTTCAAGTGATCCTCTTGCCTCAACCTCCCAAATAGCTGGGACTAGAGATGCCCAGCATAGTGCCCTGGCTATTTTTAGAAATGGAGTCTTGCTTTTGCTTAGGCTGGTCACAAACTCCTGAGCTCAAGCAATCTACCTGCCTTGGCCTCCCAGAGTGTTGGGATTATAGGCATGAGCCCAGCTATGGTATATTTTCTTAATCTATTCATGGAAGGCTGATTTTTTCCCTTTTTTTTTTTTGGCTGGGGTGGGGTTTGAACCCGCCACCTCCAGCATATGGGGCCAGTGCCCTACTCTTTTGAGCCACAGGGGCCACCCAAAAGTTTTTTGTTGTTGTTTTTTTTTTTTTTGCAGTTTCTGGCCAGGGCGGGTTTGAACCCACCACCTCCAGTATATGGGGCTGGTGCCCTACTTTTTTGAATGACAGGTGCTGCCCTTCCTTAATTCTTAAATTAGCTTCTCATCCAGGTACTTACTTCTGATCCAAGGAGTTGCTCCTGAATTCTACCAGAGAGGGGCAGGTGGAGGAGGGAGTGAGAGTAGCACTGCTAAAACTGGACTCTGAGGGGTCCCGTCCAATTGGGGAGGTATCAGACAGCTGGAAGCAAACATAACACAGCCAGTGAGACTCTGCTGACAAAAACTGCCTCTGCAATCGGGAGTTGTGATGACTGCTGCCTCGCATTCACAGTTCTCCTATTTCAGAGGGTCATTCAATAAAATAAGCCTACATAAACAATTATTATTTGTCCATAAAAAAAGAGAATTTTTTTTTTTTTTTAAGAGACAGAGTTTCACTTTATGGCCCTATGGCATCACAGCTCACAGCAACCTCCAGCTCTTGGGCTTAGGCGATTCTCTTGCCTCAGCTCCCAAGCAGCTGGGACTACAGGCACCTGCCACAACGCCCATCTATTTTTTTATTGCAGTTTGTCCAGGGCTGAGTTTGAACCTACCACCCTTGGTATATGGGGCCGGTGCCCTACTTACTGAGGCACAGGCACAGCCCAAGAGAAAACTTTTTAAAAACAAAGAAAACAAGCCTCTAAATATTTAATGGCCTGAGGGCTCCATTAGGAATCAAGACATGAAGGAAGAGGCAAGTCTGGCTTTTTATGATGTTACTTCCCCCCTGCATTAATTAAACAGTTTTACATATGCATGCCAACCAGGCATTGCTCTAAGAATGTAGTAGAGGGCCTGCCCTCCTGGCAGCTTAAAATAGACAATTACCCACTCACAAGCACTTTAAAAAGCTTCTAGTAGTGATAAGCGCTGCAGTAAAAAGCAAAGCAGGGAGTGGGGTGAGTAGAAGGTGTCAGAGCCATCAGCTTTATATTAGGAGGCCAGGGAAGTCCACTCTAAGGAGTCACTATTTGAGCAGAAAAATCAAAGAGGTAAGAGCACCAATTCCAGGCTGTTTAAAGGCTATTCCAGGCAAAGGGGCAGCAAGTGTGCAGCGAGCCAAGGAGGAAAGGGCAGCTGGCTGGAACCCAGTGAGTGGCACAGACATTCTCTGATGAACTGGTTTGTTGAAGGTAACAGAAGTTTATGCCACCAAGAACCTTAGGAATCCCTTTGCCCTGGCACAGAATAACATACCATCTTCCTATAGAATATTCTTTTCCAAAAGAGAAGGGAAAGTCAAAAATGTTTCCATGTGATAATCTTTCTAAGAGACACAGCAAAATACTTTCACCTTCAAAATTCAGTGTTCTGGGGGTGGCGACAGTGGCTCAGTGAGTAGGGAGCTGGCCCCAAGGTGGTGGGTTCAAACCCGGCCCCGGCCAAACTGCAACAAAAAAATAGCCGGGCGTTGCAGCGGGCACCTGTAGTCCCAGCTACTCAGGAGGCTGAGGCAAGAGAATCACCTAAGCCCAGGAGTTGGAGGTTGCTGTGAACTGTGACGCCATGGCACTCCACAGAGAACGATAAAGCGAGACTCTGTCTCAAAAAAAAAAAAAGTCAGTGTTCTGACGCTGAAAAATGAGAATATTCAGAATAAATACTAGAGCAGTATGTCATAATGAGAGAGGATACCCAAGAAGGGTGAGGTCTGGGAGAACACGTCTTCTCAAGGAGACCCCAAGGATACACCTGCGGGGTCTTCTCCATGGTGACTCAGCTCTTGGGAATTTGTGGATTTAACTTCCTAGAACTTGGAAATTTCCAAGTTCTGTGAAATCCTGTAGTTCTAGAGAGGCTGGAATAGCATCTCCCGGTGATTCAAACTGGCCAATGAGAAGGGCACCTGTGGGGTGGAACTTTTTGACTGTCGATAAAAAGGGAAAGACCAAGCTAGCTGGGGAGCGAGGCTATCTGGAAATCTTTTAAGCTGTAAGCTCCCGGCTGGTAAATGAAGCCCTTCCTCTTATAAACGTGGTGTTTGGGTGCTCTTTCTCTCCATTGGGCCTCGTCTTCCTGCAAAAATAAATCTTTAAATACAATGCTGTGCTCATCACAAGCCACTTGAAAGCAGCATAACCTAGAAGCAGGACATCTGGGCTGCTGTAAAACTCAGTCACCAATATGCTGACCAAAATTACAGCTGTGATGTGCTCACCTTACAGTCACTGATGCTACTGTGCACTTGGCTGAATTCTCTGTTGAACGTGTGGGTGAGAAGTTGCAGGCACTAGAAAAGAGAGAAACAGATGTAAAGGCTGGGCGCCATGGCTCGACCTGTAACCCTAGCACTCTGGGAGGCTGACCAGGGAGGATCACTTGAGATCTGGAATTTAAGACCTGCCTGAGCAATATAGCAGATCCTACTTCTACAAAAAACAGAAAAATTAGCTGAGCATAGGAGCTTGTGCCTGTAGCCCCAGCTATACAGGAGGCTGAGATAGGAGGATCACTTGAGCCTGGGAGTATGAAACTGCTATAGGCTATGATGACCCCACTGCTCTCTAGCCTGCGGCAACAGAGTGAGACTCTGTCCCCTCCCCCCCCCCAAAAAAAAAGGCTCAGTGCCCGAAGCTCAGGGAGCAGGACACCAGCCACATAAGACCAAGGCTGGCAAGTTCGAGCCCAGCCCAGGCCTGCTAAACAACAATGACAACCACGACCAAAAAATAGCTGGGCGTTGTGGTGGGCACATGTACTCCCAGCTACCAGGGAGGCTGAGGCAAGAGAATCTCAAGAGTGTTCTTGTTTTAGTATCTGTGTTTTAGAAAGATGTCTCTGGCAATAATAAGAGGAATGGGTTGGTGGTAAAGAGGTAGGCTGACTTAGCTGGGCATTGTGGCAGGCACCTGTAGTCTCAGCTACTTGGGAGGCTGAGGCAAGAGAATCACCTAAGCCCAAGAATTTGAGGTTGCTGTGAGCTGTGATGCCACAGTCCTCTACCAAGGGTGACATAGTGAAACTCTCTCTCTCAAAAAAAAAAAAGAGAGGGCCTGACACAGTGGCTCATGCCTGTAATCCTAGCACTCTGGGAGGCCAAAGTGGGTTGGACTGCTTGAGCTCAGGAGTTAGAGACCAGCCTGAACAAGAGTGAGACCCAGTCTCTACTAAAAATAGAAAAAACAGCTGGGGGTTGTGGCTCCCACTTGCAATCTCAGCTACTCGGGAAGCTCAGGCAAGAGGATCTCTTGAGCCCAAGAGTTTGAGGTTGCTGTGAGCTATGATGATGCCAAGGCACTCTAATCAGGGTGAGAGAATGAGACTCTATCTTAAAAAAAAAAAAAAAAAAGGAGAGAAGTGTAAATTGAACATCATAGAAAATGTTTTTTCAGTGGCTAAACCAAGCCTTAGATGCAAGAAATATGCCTAAAACCCACAATGGAGCTCAGGCACTGCCCTAAAAGTTCTAGAAATTAACTGTCACATATAGTGAAGAAAGTCCAGTATATGGCTAGTAAAAACAATAAAACAAGTGGTCAAAAAAGCCACTCTCACACAATTGTAAGAGAGATTTTATCTATGCAATTAGTGTGACATAATTCTGTATACCCTCAATGAATCCTAAACAACAAAATGAGCCACTCTCAAGACTAGACCATAAAAGTGAATTACTATCAGCATTCATAGTTTCAAAGTTCTAAAAAATGTAGTAGTGGCCGGGCATGGTGACTCATGCCTGTAATCCTAGCACTCTGGGAGGTGGAAGTGGGTGGACTGCCTGAGCTCAGGAGTTTGAGACCAGCCTGACCCAGAGAGAGACCCCGTCTCTAAAACTAGCTGGGCATTGTGGTGTGTACCTGTATTCCCAGCTACTCGGGTGGCTGAGGCAAGATAACTGCTTAAGCCCAAGAGTTTGAAGTTGCTGTGAGTTGTGACACCATAGCATTCTACTGATGGCAACAAAGTGAGACTCTGTCTCCAAAAAAAAGAAAAAGAATCTTCCTGTGTTGTCCAGGTTGAACTTAAACTCCTGTGCTCAAGAGATCCTCCTGTTGCTACCTCTCAAGTAGCTAGGAACACAGTTATATGCCCCATACCTGGTTAACCCTTTAATTCTCAATTCACTCTGGTGCTAAATGGTATGGAGACTACTAGAGGGACATATTTTCCTCAATAAACTAAAAGACTATTGGATTATGAAAACATCCCATTTTTACATTTTCTTTCCAGCCAGGTGACTAGAAATCCACACCTGGGATCACCCCCAGCAAGCTCTCTGCCTTCTCCTGTGTCCAGGCAGATTCTCCCTCCTCTTCATCCCACATACCTCTGCCTTCTTTAAAAAGCCTTTATCATGTCTCATCAGTCAGCCTACCTTTTTTTTTCTTTTTTTTGAGACAGAGTCTCACTCTGTCACCCTCGGTAGGGTGCCGTTGCGTCACAGCTCACAGCAACCTCCAACTCCTGGGCTTAGGTAATTCTCCTGCCTCAGCCTCCCAAGTAGCTGGGACTATGGGTGCCTGCCACAATGCCCAGCTAAGTCAGCCTACCTCTTTACCACCAACCCATTCCTCTTATTATTGCCACAGACATCTTTCTAAAACACAGATACCTGCTTAAAGTATTAAAGAGTTGACTCCCAGGTCAACTCTAACTCTTCAGCACAGGGCATGAGATCTTCACCCCATCTCCTGCACATGTCCCACATGCATTCCCCGAGGCCACCCAGGCAGGACGTTCCTGGCTCTTCCTCTGAATCCCTTTAAGGCTGGCTCACAAGCCCCTCATTCAGAGGCCTCTCTTTTGGCTCCCCCCGCCCTCCCACAGCATCCAAGACACATACCTCTTGCTTGTCACCCACTACTCTGTAAGTGTGTTAGGGGTAGAAACTGAGTTCTTACTTCTATTTCTATATTCACGTTATCACAAGCCTTGAAACAGAGAAGGCAGCTCACACAGCATCTTGGCAAGAAAATGCTTAGCAAAGAGGAAGGGATCCCAACCTTGGTAGCCAGCTCTTTCTCTCTATCCACCAGGCTTTCGATGTCTGCTGAGTCGTAGCCACTGCTCTCGCTGGGTGTGACAGCACTTTCAAAGGTGGTGGTTGAGATCTGAGAGGATATGCTGGTGGAGGTGCTGAGGGTCCCACTGCTGAGGCTGGGGGACAATGAGTCACTCATGGATTTGGGGATGCTATCACCAAGTCTCTCACGCAGCAGCAGGAAGTGGCGGGTTTTCTCCACCTGAGAAGATCAACACCATTGCCTCAGCAAATACAAAGATCATTTAGCTCTCAATCACAATGGAAAACTAAAAAGCCACAATCACATAGAGAAGGTGGATACAAGATTGACACTTTGGGAATGGTGCCCAAGAGGTCTTGCATTCGGGCATCTCCTGCCTTGGATACCTCATGTAGGAGTTCCAGCTTCTCCAGCTCCCACTGGTGCTCCAGAATAAGGCTATCTCCGCGGGGCCTCCAGCCTGCCAAGTTCTCCTCTCCCCGCACATATGCCACTGATGTATCTAAGACTTTTCTTCTCCTCCTTTGCATGCCTAAGACAAGAAGAGGTGATTCTCTTTGTTGTCGAGAGGAATTCAATTTCAATATCAAGACAAAACAGATTAACAGGCCAGGTGCTATGGCTCATGTTTATAACCCTAGAACTCTAAGAGGCCAGGGCAAGAGGATTGCTTAGGATCAGGAGTTCAAGATCAGCTCAAGCATGAGCAAGACCTGTTTCTAATAAAAATAGAAAACTTAGGTGTGGTGCTGCACTCCTATCATCCCGGCTACTCAGGAGCCTGAGGCAGGAGGAGCACTTGAGCTTAGGAGTTACGAGGTTGCTGGGAGCTATGACAACTACGATGATGCCACTGTACTCTATTCCAGGTGACAGAGTGAGACCGTCTCACTCTGCAGTGGCTAGTCTCAGACACAATCATATTGTACTACAACTGCAAAACTTCTGGGCTCAAGCAATACTCCCCGCCTCTGTCCTCAAAGTAGCTGGAACAATAGGCATAAACTACATTTGGCCTAATTGAAATTCTTTTTGTTTTTTTCTTGAGACACAGCCTCACTTTGTCATCCTCCATAGATGACATGGCATCAGAGCTCACAGCAAGCTCAACCTTTTGGGCTCAAACGATTCTCTTACTTAAGCCTCCCCAGTCGCTGGGACTACAGGCACCCACCAAAATGCCTGGTTATTTTTAGAGATGACCAGTATTGCTCAGGCTGGCCTTGAACCTATGAGCTCAGGCAATCCACTTGCCTCAGCCACCCATAGTGCTAGGATTACAGGTGTGAGCCACCATGCATGGCTAAATTGAAATTCTTATACATAGCAAACTAAGATAGTTTGGTCTGAAGATATATCAAACTTTATTTTTATTTTATTTTATAAATATATATATATTTTGAGACAGAGTCTTACTAGGTTGCCCTAGGTAGAGTGCTGTGGCATCACAGCTCATAGCAACCTCAAACTCTTGGGTTTACACCAGCGTTTCTCAACCTGTGGGTCGTGACCCACAGGAACTGTATTAAAGGGTCATGGCATTAGGAAGGTTGAGAACCACTGGTTAAGTGATTCTCTTGCCTCAACCTCCCAAGTAGCTGGGACCACAGGCACCTGCTACAATGCCTGGCTATTTTTTGTTGTAGTTGTCATTGTTGTCTAGCTGGCCCGGGCTAGATTCAAACCTACCACCCTTGGTGTATGTGGGTGGTGCCATGACCACTGTGCTATGGGCGCTGAGCCTATATCAGACTTCATTAATAAAAATTCATGCAGCTCAGCGCCTGTGGCTCAAGTGGCTAAGGCACCAGCCACATACACCTGAGCTAGCAGGTTCAAATCCAGCCTGGGCCTGCCAAACAACAATGATGGCTATAACCAAAAAATAGCCGGGTGTTGTGGCAGGTGCCCAGCTACTTGGGAGGCGGAGGCAGGAGACTAGTTTGAGCCCAGGAGTTGGAGGTTGCAGTGAGCTATGATGCCACAGCACTCTACCCAGGGCGACAGCTTGAGGCTCTGTCTCAAAAAAAAAAAAAATAAAATAAAATAAAATAAAAATAAAAATTCATGCCTTTCCCTAAAGCAACTTGGTAAACTTTTTTAAAAAGCTGAATATTTTATTCTTTAATAATTTTAAAGATTTCAATGCAACTTGAGAAAATCCTAAAGCTATTATGTCAAGTGAAAATATAGATATTTAATAGTTTGTGTATACTATGATTCCAAACACATAAAAATACATCCCTAAGAAAAAAGTGGAAGGGACTACACACACTTGTACATACTTAGTAGTTCAGAGGATGATAGACAGGTGGCTTTAGCTCCTACCATTTCCTTTATTTATTTATTTATTTATTTATTGTCTCAGTCTATTACCTGGGTGGAGTGCCGTGGTGTCATAACTCACAGCAACCTCAAACTTTTGGTCTCAAGTGATCCTCCTGCCTCAGCACCCTGAGTAGCTGAGACTATAGGTGCCTGCCACAATGCCTGACTAGGTTTTTTCTATTTTTACTAGAGATGTGGTCTCGCTCTTGTTCAGGCTGGTCTTGAACTCCTTAACCCAAGCAATCCACACTCCCACACTCCTCAGCCTCCCAGAGTGCTAAGATTAGAGGCGGAGGCGACTGCGCCCAGCCTTATGAAGCTTTCTAAACTAAATTCAGCTTGATATAATTTTTATAACCATACTGTGCATCATAAACCAAGTAATTTTGCAAGTCTAAAAAGGTAACTCCCGCCACCACTATCACTATCATCAAACTAGTTTGCAAAACACACATGGTTTCTAGAAGATTTTATAAATATCCCACATGGGTACACACTCCAATTTTTTTATGTACATAAGCAGAGATAATGATGATTTCCCCTCTCCACAGGTGCTTACCTGGACTACCTGTGTCTGCCATTTTGCATAAGCTGAGTTCATAAATGCCAGTGACGCGATTGCTATTTGAAGAAGAAAAAAACAATTGCTTAATCTCTTATAGCCCTCAAGGAGGAAAGTCTCAATTTTCCTTCTTTAAAATACCGTCTCCTCGGTAGGGATTGCAATGCACCCTCAAATAATTACAGGCATTTCTCACTATCTCCTTTCTTCTCCTGTTCGGAAGTTGCACATCTTTTGCTACTTTCATTTCAATCTACTAAACGTTGCTATTTCCACAGGATGAACAGAATGATAAACTTGAGAAATTACAATCCCAACGGGAAAACCAAAAATTTGTCTTTTCTTACCATAAGAGAGCAGAAATGAGGAGAAAAAAAAATCTGACTAGAATAAAATAATAAACAATAAATTCTGGGGACTGTTGAGTAGAGGGGATACTGGACCTTCTATTGATAATGCTTATTTTACTTTTTAAAGCTGGGTGTGACATATAAGCATTCACTGTGTTATTCTTAATATATTTTTATACACCTTAAATATGCACAATAAATCTAAAAAAGAATGGCAATCTTTTCAAAAGGATGACATTTAAAAGAACATTTGGGCGGTGCCTGTAGCTCAAGGAGTAGGGTGCTGGCCCCATATGCTGGAGGTGGTGGGTTC